ATTTGTTCCCTAAACTGGAGAAGGCGTTAAAAAACATAACAACTGCAGAAACAGTAGTGATGCAGATGCAAGTGTCGAGACAGAGAGAGTTCTGGTACCTTCTCAAGATTGCCTGTGTAAGCATTTAATAGTTGGCACAGCAGAAAATATTCTTGGGGATGAGCAGTGGTTAGGGAACATAAAGGTTTGAATATAGTCAAATGAGACTGTTGCTAATACAGGGTGTGATTGTGTTTTCAGGCCCAGAGCAGTTCTCCATCTCCTTCACTTACACAGCCTTCCACTGACAGGTGAGATCAGTTTAATATCTGAAAAATACTACTGAAGTTAACAGCTACAATAATCTGTCACACTGTTTTGAGATTATCTCCCAAATGTAAGGATTTTATGTGTAGTTTAGAAGATCAATCTTTGCACAAAACCACCACTAGAGGTCACTCTTTGGTCTTTAAAATCTCAGTTTGTAGGGGGAAAAAAAAGACCCCCAACCCTCCTTATAGTCTGTTTTTTCTTTCAGTGAAACAGTTCATCATTTACTTGATGAAAATCAACGTTATCTGAGTCAGCTAACGTCTTTGCTGCAAGACGCCACCCAAGAGATGGAGCACAGTATTATGGTATGGCAGAGATGTGTTTTTATGTTCTGCTCATGTATATCAGCAAATTACCAAGTTGTTTTTTATTAGAGCACTAATTAACAGCTAATTATTGGAGACTGGCACAAAAGTACTGAGCGAATATGTTGCTTCTCTGTGCAGGATCAGGATTGGAGCTGGACTCAGTATGGAGCAATGAAAGTGAAGCCTCAGACGCTCTAGAAACTCACCAGATATCACACACTTTAAAAAGTGCTCTATCAGAGTCACACTATGTGAAAGCTTTGTTATTCCTCACAGTGTCCTTTACATTTATGTAATGCTGTTGACTAGAATGTATGAAACAGCACGATGTGGTAAGCTACAGACAATTTAATTTGAAGTATATTTTTGAATGTTAAAAAATATTTCCAGCTGTAGATACAAGATATTTATTTTACTGGCAATACTGACTAAAGGTAAAAACTGCTGCTGTGCATGATTGAATGTGAATAAATTTCTAGAAACTTATAGTACATGTACAAGGTTTTGAATTTGTTCAATGTTTAGTTTCTATCTGCACGGGTGAAACTTTTTTACATTCACGCAGTGGAGCACACACAAAATGCAGGTTTAAAATTCTCCTGGGATTTGCTGAAATCCAAACTGCAAGAATGCAGAAAAGTCTAATGTAAAATATGATGCAAAACCAGACAATAGTCTACGATACTGTATTTGTACTGACAGTAAAGGGAAATAGGAACAAAACCTGTGATATGCCAAATTACACAATAATTGGGCCTTGCAATAATTTGAAGAAAACAGTAAATATCAGATGATCGCCTGTGAGTTAGCGCTTTGGCAATAGTCGGAAGGAAAAACTCCCTTTTAACATGAAAAAGCTTGGCTGTGTGTCGCAACCAGTTTGGGGTGAGGGGACAAACGTAGGACAAAGGCATGCAGTGGAAGAGAGACAGAGATGAATTATAACTAATACTCAAAAGGAAAGTGGTGTATAAACACGCAGGAAGAGAAAAGACGTGTGTGAAGAAGAAACACTGTGCATCATGAGAGCCCCTAGCAGCCTAGGTCTATTGCAGTGTAACTAAGGGAGGATTCACCTGATCCAGACCTAACTATATGCTTTATCAAAAAGGCAAGTTTTAAGCCTAAGTGTAAAAGTAGAGAGGGTATCTGTCTCCTGAATCCAAACTAGGTGGTGGTTCCACAGAAGAAGGGCCTGAAAGCTGAAGACTCTGTCACCAATTCTACTTTTAAAGACTCTGGTAACCATAAGCAAGCCCGCAGTCTAAGCACAAATAACTCTAATGGGGTGATAGAGTACTATAAGGCCATTAAGATAAGATAGGGAATGATTATTCAAGACCTTGGTGAGAAAGACTTTAAGTTTATCCTGCTTTTAACAGAAGATAAGCCAATATAGAATAAAAATGCTCTCTCTAGTCCTTGATCATCTGAAGGCTTTTCAGTGAATTTTTCACACATTCTGATAATAACGAACTACATTAGTACAATGTACGAAGAGGACTCTCCATGTACATGAACAAACTGGGTTCTATTACACAACTGCAGCGCAGTACCTTTAATACCCACAGGGTGCGCTAAAGGTCTTATGGAGTGATGAAATGGTAAATGGCCTGCATTTGTATAGCGCTTTTCTAGTCCCTAAGGACCCCAAAGCGCTTCACACTACATTCAGTCATTCACACACACATTCACACACTGGCGATGGCAAGCTACATTGTAGCCACAGCTGCCCTGGGGCGCACTGACAGAGGCGAGGCTGCCGGACACTGGCGCCACCGGGCCCTCTGACCACCACCAGTAGGCAAACATGGGGTTAGTATCTTGCCCAAGGATATTTGGCATGCAGCCAGGAGGCAGCCTGGGATCGAACCACCGACCTTCTGATCAGGTGCTCTGCCACCTGAGCTACAGCCACCCCGTGATAAATGAAAATTTCAAATTTTTGGTTAAAATTGTTGTCAATATATAGAGAGAGCCACAACAGTGAGTGCTCACAGCCATCTGTAAAAGACCACAAAGGATATATCATGGTTTAGGGGACAATCCTACAACCTTTACCATTATGGAAGCAGTGTGGGATTATCTTGATAGAGAGCAAATGCAGAACAAAAGCCAGCCAGTATCAAAAGAAGATATTTGAATATGTTTTTATAGTATTCATACCAAAAATGATGAATGCAGATGCTTCACTGGCTGATGAGCTGAACACGTTTTATGCTCGCTTCGACGCCGCAGCAATTAAAACAACAAACGGCTGCGCGCGCTCGGAGTGCACCAGTGAAGAAAATGCATTCGTCATCACAGAGCATGCCGTGAGGAACACCTTCAGGAGGGTGAACACCAGGAAGGCATCAGGACCAGATGCAATCCCTGGCCGGGTCCTTAGAGCCTGCGCTGATCAACTAGCACCGGTGTTCACGGAGATCTTCAACCTCTCCCTGGCCCAAGCTGTGGTTCCCACGTGCTTCAAACAGTCCATTATTGTCCCTGTTCCAAAGAAACAACAGCCCGCTTGCCACAATGACTACCGTCCAGTAGCACTGACTTCAATTGTGATGAAGTGTTTTGAAAGACTGATGAGAGATCACATCACTTCTTCACTTCCTGCCACCATCGACTCACTTCAGTTTGCTTACCGGACTAATCGTTCCACAGACGATGCCATATCTCACCTGCTCCACACATCTCTGAGTCACCTGGACACTGGCAGAGGGAATTATGTTAGGATGCTGTTCGTGGACTACAGTTCAGCATTCAACACAATAATTCCCTCTAAGCTTTTCACCAAGTTGACGGATCTAGGACTCAGCTCATCACTGTGTCAGTGGATCCTCAACTTCCTCACAGACAGACCCCAATCAGTGAGGGTGGGAAAACAAGTCTCCCCCTCCATCTCACTCAGCACTGGAGTGCCTCAGGGCTGTGTTTTAAGCCCCCTGCTGTACTCACTGTACACTTATGACTGTGTAGCCACATCCGACACCACCTCCATTGTCAAGTTTGCTGACGACACTGTTGTTGTGGGCCTGATCTCCGACAACATCGAGACGGCCTACCTGGAGGAGATTAGGAACCTGGAGACCTGGTGCCAGGAGAATAACCTCCTCCTAAACATCAGCAAGACTAAGGAGCTGATCGTGGACTTCACTACAAAGCAGGCAAGGAATTACAAACCCCTCATCATCAGTGGCACGCCAGTAGAGAGACTGGACAGTTTCCAATACCTGGGTGTCCACATCACTCAGGACCTGCACGGTCCTGTCACATCAACACCCTGGTTAAGAAAGCCCGTCAGCGTCTCTTCTTCCTCAGAAGACTTAGAGACTTCCATCTGCCACTGAAGGTGCTCAAGAACTTCTACTCCTGCACCATCGAGAGCGTCCTGATGGCAAACATCTGCACCTGGTTTGGGAACAGCACCAAGCAGGACAGACGAGATCTGCAAAGGGTGGTGCGCTCAGCCGAACGCATCATTCAATCAGAGCTCCCTGACCTGCTGTCCATCTACACCAAGCGGTGCAAGTCCAAAGCTAGGAAGATTATGATGGACCTCTCCCATCCCAACAATGGACTCTTCTCACTGTTGAGGTCTGGGAAGCGCTTCCGCTCCCTTAAGGCCAAAACAGAGAGAATGAGGAGGAGCTTCTTCCCCCAGGCTATTCGGGGCCTGAACCAGGTGTAGGACTGGACTCTCCCAAACACGTCGCTATAAGACTGGACTCTCACACACGTCACCACACGCACCAGCACACATTTCCTATAATCCTATAATTCCTATAATTTATAATCCTTATCTTTATAATCTCTTCTGCTATTTGCACATTCTTTACTGTAAATTCCTAAGTTAATTTGTAAATTTTTGTAGTAAACTGTAAATTGTAAATATTGTAAAACTTTTCTTCTGTCATTTAATGGTCGGGCATTGTACAGCTACAAGCATTTCACCCCCATGTCATACTGTGTATGGTTGTGTGTGTGTGACAAATAAAATTTGAATTTGAATTTGAATTTGAAAAAAATGAAGTGAAAAGAACTTCCTTAGCCCACTGGTTTTTCTGGACATCTGTCAAAGACTGGCGATTGTTTTATAATATTGGTTTTGTAAAACATTGATATCCATACTGATATCTTCTTGCGAAGCCATTTGGGTCTTATATATCTGTATAAATAAAAAGGTTTTATCAAGATTTTAAATAAAATAAATCGTTTGACAAATTCCACCCATTTACAATGTCACTTCTTTTATTTCCAACAGTCCTGAAGGCAGCATAATGCAGCGAGTCAAAGCAAGATTGAAACCTGTGGGAGGCGGGGAAATGGGGGTGGGACGTTGAATGCTAAGATCAGAAGGGGACACGGTTTGCTACAGCGGTAATTTTACATATTATAAGCCTGTGGTTTACAGTACGTACTGAAACATTATTTGGTCGTAGTGCAGGACGATTTAAAAGCTTTGCTTCACGCTAGTAGCCTAGCAAGCTTACATTAGCATTAAGCTACACTGAAACAGTGCTTCACTTCCGATCCCACCCAGTGAGAGCTAGCCAGCCAGCTAGCTAGCTAATCCAACCCAGCCAGCTAGGGTAAACGTTACCAACCGAGTGGTGGGTAAGCCTGTGTTTTCTTTTTCAGAATGTATTTGTTTTAATGTTATAGCTACATCAAAGGACCTGTAGCTTTGAAGCACATATGTTGCTTCATAAGTTGGATGAGGAGTCACTTGCTTGTTACCCTTCTCAAGTCTTTCTGTCAGCTAATCGTGCCTGTCACCGTTAGATGTTTAAACTAAATACACGTGAAGTGTACTTTAACTAAGCGAAGTCGTTAATTGTCACCAATAGTGTTGCTATATGATATGCATCGATTGCTGTTAAGGCAGCTATCATAGGCATAAAGGTTTCCATGTTTGACCTGGGTGCACCTGTGTTAATAGCTGACCGTCTCACTGGTGAATATAAAAGGCGTATTTATGAGAGTGTGTGTAACGATTTACTTAAACTCTTACTTTCATTACAATGGGGTGAAAAACGGGGTGCACGGAGCAGAAAAGCTAAGCCATATAGTGTGTTGACCATAGACTTACTGGATGTAAAGAGGCAGGTTTTATGGCACAGCCCATGCATTACTGATGGTTCACCTAAGAGTCTTGACTGCATGTATTGCTGTTAATAGTTACAGTTTCCACCTGATCACAGACGTGACAGTGCCCTGAGGACTTAGTGTTGTATAAATATTTCAGTTTTTTCCTTTTCTGTCTGCAGGTGAGTGCTAGCAAGGATGACGATGCCGCATGTAGGGGCAGTATTTGCAGCAATAACAGGAGTGATGGCCATCATGTTGCACTCCTCTATTCACAAGATAGAAGAAGGACACCTCGCTGTGTACTACAGGTACATCAGGCCTGACTCATCACACCTGTTTCTAATGAAAATAACACCTGTACTAAGAATGTGGGAGTGCTATTTGTAAGCACCCTGTTTCAAATGATGGTTATAAAGTTATATGTCCTCTTCTTTTTTTCCACTCTCATTAAATATAATCAAAAGAAAATCAGATGTTCTGAACTCTGGCCAAATAATTTGTATTTGTTTCAGAGGTGGGGCATTGCTGACTACTCCCAATGGTCCTGGATATCACATTATGCTGCCTTTCATTACCACCTACAGAGCAGTGCAGGTAAGCCTCTCTTTCCAGGCTTGAAACCTGGCCTTTGAGCAAAGGCATGTGTAATGTAAGATTCAAACAGGAGGTGCCTGCGCTTTAAAACTAGAGTGGGATCTTCTATAAATAAGTCAGCTACAGCATGCAAACAGTTGTTATTCAACCGTGGCTGCAGGGGCTCTGTTTTACAACAAGTAAATGGAGCATTTACATGCCAATACATATATAGTTGTGGGCAGAAGTTTGCATACGCTTATCATTGGCATGAAAGTCATGGCAATTTTAGGTTTTTCATTGATTTCTTTGAAGTGTTATTTTTCTGGGGTAGAATGATTGTGCAGCCTACATCTTTAATGCCTTTAAGAAACAAGAATTGGTTGCACAGGTTTGAATTTATTTAGGATTTTCTCAAATCCACACTGTGTTGCAATTAAACATAGAGGTGCAAATATATACATACAAACCCTCTAATACTTATTTAAATGTCTCTTTACAAGTTCTGGCACAATTCTGTCTGGGTATTTGGCCACCGTTAATGGCAGAATTGGTAGAGTTCATTTAAATTGGTTGTTTTCTTGGTACAGACCAGGCTTTTAAGCATCATAGTTCACAAATTTTCATTTGTGCTTTGGGAGGGCAATTCCAGAAACTTGATGTTAGCCTGGTTTATCCATTCGAAAATCAGTTTTGATATATTTTTGGGATCATTGTCCTGCTGGTACACCCAACTGTGTCCAAGTTTTAACCGTCTAGCTGTTAATTGTAAGTGAAGTTGAAGATTTTGGAAATGGTCCTCATGCGCTGTTATTTCATCCAATTTGTGCAATGTACCAGTACCTCTGGCAGCAAAACAGCCTCAGACCATGCTACAGCCAACACCATGCTTAACAGCTGTTATAGTGTTCTTAGGTTTGAAAGCCTTACTCCTCCAAGCACAAGTCTTGTCATTGTGGAAAAATAGCTCAATCTTTCTGTCATCTGACATAAAACCTTTCTCCAGAAGGCATTTGGCTCGTCATTGTTGGCAGCTGCAAAGTTAAGCTGGTTGGTTGGTTTTGAAACACAGGTTTCTTTCTTGGTTGCATGTTCTTAGTGTAGGGTGATATAAAACTCCCTTTACTGTGGACAGAGATGTCGATGTTCCAATAGATCATGGCAGGCTTGAGCTTTAGTGGTTCCTGGCTTGTTCCTGAACATTCTAACAAACATCCTCTCATTTGAGGGTGGTAGTTTGGGTCTTGTTCCAGACCTTGGCAACATATCCAGGTAACTTGAAGAATTATGGCTGTTTTGGAAAACTACTGTTACAGTTAACGAACGTTTACAATCAGAATTGTAAAAGAGAATCATAGTAATATAGTAGAATATGCTTTACACATTGTATGCATTCAGCTTGTATTAACTTGAAACAACCATGCACTTCTTTATGTAATCTTGTATAGCTCCTAAATTATATAATGTAGTATAAAGTAGCATTGCACTCAATTTCAAATCTTAATAATACACTCACAGGCCACTTTAATAGGTACCTTGCTAGTACCAGATTGGACCCAGTTTTGCCTTCAGATCTGCTTCTCTGAAGCAAGTGCTGGAAACATTCCTCAGAGATTTTGTTTCATGATGGCATCAGACATTTGCTGCACATTTGTTGGCTACGCATCAATTATATAAATCTCTCACTCAACCACATTCCAAATGTGCTCCTTTGGACTGATATCTGGTGTCTGTGGAGGCGACTTGAGTACAGTGAACTGATTGTTATGTTTAAGAAACCAGTTTGAGATGATTTGACCTTTATGACATGTTGTGTTATTCTGCTGTAAGCAGCCATCAAAAGATCATACAGAGATGACATTTAAGGCTGTGGCATTTGAATGATGAAGAACTCCTGCAAATCAGAAAAGATAGGGGGTGCTTGGAGTCGTATGGCCATAAGCATGAAATAAGCAGGATGGATCCATGATTTCAATTTTTGTGATCATGTGCAAATTGTAGTCCTTTATTCCCAATTTTGATGCTCAGTTTGAACTTCAGCTATGTTTAATAGCAGTTGAACCTGTTGTACCCTGGATTTTATATGCTCAGTTTTAACAAAAAGGAAAACACACAGGTCACTTATACTGATAACTATGTCACAATATTTTCAATGTTTCTTTTTGTTTTTTTTTTCAGACTACACTCCAAACAGATGAGATCAAGAATGTGCCTTGTGGAACAAGGTGTGACTGAACTTCCTAATTCAGCTGTTAATAAAGTCATTCCCACATTAATATATATTTACCTGAAATGTTTTTTTTTCTTCACAGTGGAGGTGTGATGATCTATTTTGACAGGATAGAAGTTGTGAACATGCTCGTCCCCTCAGCAGGTGCAGCTTGTTTTTGTGAATTTCTTTCACTGCAAAACTTCCTTATTTTGTTGACTTATTAACCCTGTTGGCATCAAAGTAATTGTTGCTTTTGTTCTGCTATATTCAGTGGTGGACATTGTGAGGAACTACACCGCAGATTACGACAAAACTCTAATTTTCAACAAAATTCACCATGAACTCAACCAGTTCTGCAGCGTGCACACACTACAGGAGGTTTACATTGAGTTGTTTGGTTAGTACGTTTTGGTTGCATTTTACTACAATCCTGAAATTCTTGAAATTGGATCATACATTAGAACTTTTTCTTTTATTTTGTTTGCAGACATCATAGATGAGAATCTGAAGACGGCATTACAGAAAGATCTGAATGTTATGGCACCTGGACTTACAATACAGGTACCTAAACACACACATAACCTGCACATTTTCAGTGACATTTTAGGGATGATAAAATCAGCTAGTTGGTTTTGTGCTGTGACACATCCAGAACTCAGATTCCACCTTCCCTCATTCCCTCGCTCTGTCCCTTTTACAAAGACTTTAAGGTAACACTCAGTACTTAGAAGTCTATATTGTACATAGTTTAACATTTCCAGCTGAAATAGAGAATGTTTAGTGGGAAAAAGGTGAGATCGCACATGGATCATGGAGCTGGTAAATAACACACAGTTTCATACCAGCTAGATTTGGGCACTAGCAGCAAATGTACAGAGAGTAGAGATTAACAGTCAGTCCTTCGTACTGCCTACTAGTACACTAATAGTGTTGTTTTTGTTTGTTTTTTTCCTCTTCCTCGTTGGCAGTTGATCACCAAATAGCCCAAACTTATTGCACGTTTTCTTCCGCACTAACCTGTGTTAATACAGTTAAAAATGCTCCCTTTGAGGTGAGGTAAAACAGAAGTCAGATTAAACTGTTGTTTACTGCATTACCTATTAGCTTCTTGCAGGAACTATAAATTCATTTTAAGCCGCGGGGTAAACCAGGTTGCTGTCTGTTAGTGTTTGTTTAATGACCCCTGCTCATGGGCCAGGACCATTAGTGCACAGCTAGGAAGAAACAGATGTTAGTGTGTCACCCAAACAACCCCTCCCCCCAAACCCACACACACAATAAATAAAAATGAAAATATAAAAAAATAAATGACATTTGCTCACCAGTTTGAGGGGAGGAGTCAAAGTCTGAATAGATACTAGTAGGCCAATCTATCTGTTTCATGTGTCTTTTTATTTTTGTGAGCAATTTTCCCTCACTGTTTCCCTCTTTTTTTCTTTTTTTTGTACTGTTTCCGATAAAGGCAGTTCGTGTTACCAAACCAAAGATCCCTGAGTCTATCAGGAGGAACTTTGAACTTATGTGAGTTTGTACAATTGAAGTTACCAGCATAGACTTTGTACATGGTTTAGTTTCTGTGATTTCCTCACTCAATTCATGCAAGACCACATGGAAAGCAAAATATTTGCAAGAATCTCATTTCTGTCTATCCTTGTGTGTGTGTCTGTCTGTGTGTGTTTGTGTATGTGCAGGGAAGCAGAAAAGACTCGTTTGCTAATAACAGCTCAGACTCAGAAGGTGGTGGAAAAGGAAGCTGAGACTGAAAGGAAGAAAGCCATTATTGGTAAATGCGCTGTTTTACTGTAAAGCAGGCAGTTCCCTTTTTATTTGCATGACCATCCGTGCAATTTTAGCATTTTGCCTCTCAAAGTTATTCATGCGAAACCCCACTGCCAACCTCAGCCTTCTCTTTTCTGTCACACAGAGGCTCAGAAAGTGGCTCAGGTGGCAGAGATCCAGTTCCAGCAGAAGGTGATGGAGAAGGAGACAGAGAAGAAGATCTCTGAAATAGAGGGTCTGCCTGAAATCCTTTGGTTCCTTTCTGTGTCATGAATCTGTGTGTTCCTGAGTTGTGGTGTGCTGGTTTATTTGTCTCATTCAATAGTGCTTCTTTGTTTCAGATGCTGCCTTCCTGGCCAGAGAGAAAGCTAAGGCTGATGCAGAATTTTACACTGCTGCCAAGTTTGCTGAAGCAAACAGGGTAAAAAGACCCAAACAGTTTAAACACTTTGTTGTTAACATCAAATGCAGTCATCACAGATCGTATAGTTTTAAAACAGTAACACTCTGCTGAGAGGTGTTTTTGCAGTGGCTATAGTAATAAAAAAAATCCCTAATGTAAAAGAGAATAAGGCTTGATTTAGACTTCTTTGTAGAGCCCATGATGTAACCTATGTAGGTGGCTGACGTTGTTGACGCATTTATGCTTGTGCTGGTCCAATATGTGTTAATTACCTTGTGGTTGTGTCCTGATGCGGTGTCAGCTGATAGAAACAGTTGAAATGCTGGGGCTTTTTCCCTCCCTGGTCCCTGCTCTTTGTACTGGTCTGTTTTGTTTTTGTTTGTTTGTTTTTTAACGGCAAACATATTTGTCCCTGAAGTTTTTCTACTTCTCTGTGCATACATTCACGTCAGTTCTGATCATTACAACAGTCTGCATCCAGAAATTTGTTGACGTTTGTGAGTTCTTATATTGATGCTATGATTATCATTCCTTATTTTGAGATGATGATCCATATTTTCTCAATGATAAATTTAAAAACTGCGGTGGAAAAAGTAGCCAGAAATTCACAGGAGGACTCCATTGTACTGAACAGACCATTTACAATAGTTGCGGGCTGCGTCGACTGCGTGTGTAGCTAAACTCCCAGGGAAGTGCACGTTAGATTACGGCATAGGTTATGGCGTAGATTTCCAGCAGTTGTAGTAACATAGTTTTAGTTTATGTTTATTTGTAGGTTTATACGGCAAACGCATGGATCCACACAAACCTGCTGTAATGATCTTAATAACCTCACTTCACCTGACCTAAACAGAATCAACTTTAAATAGATGCAGACTTTCGACAAACTCTACCAAACTGGGTAATTGCAGAAAGATGTCACAAACCATTAATTACCGTCCTCCTGACAAGAGTCAGGTCTTGAAGCAGCTCCACTTGATCAGAGTTAATTTAATTGCTCATCACTGAAGTTGGTCCAGCTGCAATGTTGCATTTATTTTTAGCCATGTAGCTGTATATAGTCACATTAAGATAAAGTGTTATCACAAACAGCAATGTGATCCAGCACTAATTGAATCCTCACACTCTTCTGTCTCTCTTCTAAATCCCTACAGCTGAAGTTGACACCTGAATACATGGAGCTGATGAAGTACCAGGCCATAGCAGCTAACAGTAAGATCTACTTTGGCCAGGACATCCCGAACATGTTTGTAGAGGGGGGCAACGGTCCACCAAAGTCTCCGCGCTCCCCTTCATTACCGAATGCTGAATCAGACTTCTTTAAAGTGAAGCCTGATGGACAGTGAGTCCACAGCTCTGCCTCTGCACAGGACAGGAGAGCTTGATGAGGAATTGTCTTGTCACTGGGGCGTAGAGCGCTGAACTGAAGATGATGATGATGGGTGGGGTAGCTTTTCAGCTAGTTTGGTGAACCGCACGCTTCAGTCTTAAATCTAAATGGCAAAAAAAGAGTGGGAGAGGGTTTAAGGTGGAAGAAAAGTGAGATGGGAGAATGTGACAGATGAAAAGGATTTTTTTTGTTTTGTTTTGGAGGGTTTTCAGCCTTCCACATTTTTAAAAAGACGAGCTTTAGAAATGAGATTGATGCCATAGTTAAAAAACAAGCATAAACATGCTAATGCCTGAGAAGGTGACGGCAACTAGTCGCCCTAATTTACATGTGCTTGCAATCAGTGCGGTGTTTAACTTTTGCTTTTGGGGCTGCATTCATTTTTTGTTTTTCTTTTGTTATCTTTTTTTGTTATTGATTTTTTGGATGCAAGGTCAATGATTTGTGATGAGCTATTGATTTTTGAGAGTTATGTGGCTTGGCTGCACTGGAATCTGACAGGTGACACTAATTAAAAGCTGGGTGGACAATGTATGTGCGTGTGATGGGGGTCAAGTCATCTCTGTGCCAACCTCACTTGCACTGACTTACTAAGGTGGCTGTTCTTTTAAGAGTATAAGGGCCCGTTTAAGCTGCTGGTGGATGAACTTGAACACTTGATGGGTTATATACAGAAGTGAGTGTGTTATAAATGTCCAGTTGAGTGAAATTATACAGATATTAGCTGTGGAGGGGTATCAGATTGGAAATGTAGTTTATTATTTAGTGTAGTATTCTGTTATTAGTTGTTTTTTGGACCTCCTGTGACACAGACTCTGAAGCAAATGAGAGGGGGGAAAATGGAAGAAAGATCTGGCGTTGCTTAAAGATTTAGTCTAATACAAATTGAGGATGATTAACAGCTGATTGTTGTAACAGCGAGCACTGCAGGAAGTAGAGATTATCATTAAAGAAGTCAGCGCATGTTTCTTTCTTCAGATTGGTTTCCAGAGCCGTGCATGTTGAAATTATGAGTTTGGGATGGTTCAGATAGAGCCTGCAACCAACTCTGTTGTTATGCAGTGTCTTCATAAGTGGTTAAATGTAAACTCTCAGGACATGTATTAAATATTAATAAGACAGCTGTTTAATGTTCACTCTCCAAACAACAATTAATTCAGATTTTCACCATGAAGAAAGCTGCGGTTTGAGAGGAAAATGGAAAAGCACCACCTTTTCAGCTAGGTGTCTGTCTGGAACAATGCCAATTTAAGAGCATGCAGGGCGACTGAAATAGGAATAATATTTAAAACGAAATCGACATTTCATTGTCAATGTTTACATTTTTTATGGTGATTCATAACTAAGCGGACTACAGGATCTTCTGTCATTTCTCACCGAGATAATTGAAGTACCACAGAGCTTCCTATGACGACAGAAACTCGGAGAGGATTCACGTAACCTCCAATCAGTTTTTGACAGCACGAGTTCTACTCAAAAACAAGTTGGTCTGTTTAGAGATGAATGTTGCTTTGGCTTAAGAAAAGATACGGGTTGGTGCTAGTTTTAATGTGTGTGTACATTTTGATTCTGTTCTGCTTTGTGTTTTAGAAACATGGAAATACAATTGAGATAACGAGCCTTAAATAATATAATGGTTTACCCCAGACTTAAAGGTTCAGCGATTCTTACAGGCTAAAAGGCTCCTCATAGACTTTGAAGATGTGCCGTTCTGTACGGATCGTCGCTCTCGCTTTGAAAGACTCAACAGGCAGTGAACACTACGAGTGTTTTGAAGACGCCGCGCTGTTTCTGTGACCTCCATTTGGCAGTTTAACGCTGCACCTCGCAATTGCTTTGGTGGTGGGTTCAAATAAAAGATGCAAAAGAGGGGGATGAATCACTCACAAAAATAATTTTTGTCGATTTTTTTTTTTTTTTTTTTTTTGTACAATCTGTGAAATTTAAACATTGTTTCCTTGTTTTAAAAGGTTTATATGCAAAAATGTTTTCAAGTTTTGACAATGTTCTTATGTAACAAATAAAACCTATTTTGATACCTCTCTTCTCTTTGCATTGATGTGTGGGCATTGTTGTGCATTCGAATGCCACAAGGAGGAGAACTTGTGCCATGGTAGAATAGTCACTTGGTTTGAATACTAGCAGTGGCAGACTTGATCAAAAGAAAGAAGGAAAATATTTTATGAATAAATGGATGGATAAAGACCCCAGGGACCCATTGAATATGTGTCAGTTTGTACATTTCCAAAAGTTATGTATGTATAGAAGTAAAATCAATCATGAGCTTGTACAAAGTTTAGAAACACCTTTATTTTATGTGCTAAGTTATAGAAGGAAACTCAAATTTCCCATACTATTTTGTGACACAAAACTACACATGCACACTAAAATATATTTGCATCTTAACTGCAGCACAAGTGCCTCAAATCTCACTGTTGTTGTATTTATGTCCTTTTTCCAATGTTTTCAACAAGTGACATTATACATTATATCTACAGGTTTTCTATATGTTTACAAATTGATAGATATACCAACCCACATTTGAGCCTGTGCATAATTGGCATGATTTATATCCCACCACATATTCTAATAAGAGGAATTTATATGATGTGCGACTGTAGCTTTTTATTTCATTCCAAAGGCTGGGTAGTTGTGGAAAAATGAGCACGACTCAGTGAACACACTGAATATATAAACACGATCCATCACACAGTCCTTGTTGTTCTAACCCACATAATGTGTTGTAAACACTCCAAAAACAGATCTGTGTGAGTGTGTGTCTGTTGAGTTTGTAAAGTGGTCATCTGAAGAAAATAAAACCCGCTCTTCCCTCAGCACAGCCAGTCAGCTGTTCACAAATGCTTTCCAGGAAGCATTCAAAGTGTGTGTCAGTCCATGTTACCAGATGAAGGATGGCTTCCTCTTGTGACCTCTCAGCCCTCATGGACCCTGGTATCCTCTCACAGCCAAACCAGTGGTTTCTGGGGGAGGGGTTTAGCTTTTGATTGACCCAGATAAACTTTTCCCCCCACTTTTGATAAGATTTTAAAGATATATGATCATATTGAGTGTTTTCGGGTTTAAATAAGCTTCACTCCTCATTGATTACAAAGGAAATTTGTTGGGGTTTTTTGTGTTTTGGCCTGTGCTTAGTGTAATGGGTGGTCTTATTACTTCTTGCCATTTGCGCAATTCCAACCAGTTTGAAGTCCTCTCTCTTAGGAAGTGAGGTTATGGTCAGGTTTTTTTTCCCTTTCCTGGCTGAACCAGCGCTTTTCCTTTTGTTGCTTTTCATCAGATCCTGGATGATCCATCTTGCCTTGACATCATCCTGGATGTGTCCCCAGATACAGAAAGGTGTGGTCCCTCATCTCTGAGTAAATCTAGTTCCCAAACAGCAGGGTGATACTCAGTGTGATTCATCAGCGGCAGGCAGCTCCTTTATCAAAAGCAGCTCTGTTCTTCAGTTTTCCCTCACATTCTTATCCACTGTCTGTATTAAAAGGAGTATTAACTTTGCTATTTCCTACCACTTATCACTGTCTGAGTTTCTATGGAGACCCTGGTAATTTCTAAAGTCTGCTATACAATTAGGGCTCTTCTGTGGCTATGAATAGAGCTCTGTTTTGGGAAAATAACCCAAGAGATCATCAGGATTACTGTGTTTAAGACGCCAACATTGCTTGGTAAAACAGGTCTGCTTAATTTGTTTGCTTTTAAATTGTTCAAATAGTTGATTTTTGAGGGAAAAGGAAGGGAGAAATGGAAGCTAAGTAAACACTGTTTTTAATGTTTGCTGCTGCAGCCATCTTAACTCTTACAATCTTCAGTTTTTCAATCTGCTGTCAGGAGTTCCTGAGTTGATATGTCAAGTTATTATCTCAAATTTCAAGTCACTTCTGAGTAAGTTGAAATTTCAAGATGCTAACCCAAAAGTTTGACATGCTTAAAATAAATAAAAATGAATCAGTGGCAGAAAGAAACCTCCACAGGGAGTAAATGTACAAGTACCAGCAAAATAGGAAAACTCAACAAGGAATTAACGACCAGCCATAAAAAGTGCAAGCACGAGATTTCATGTAAAAAGGAATAAAGGCTTTAGCTTTCAAATATTTGACATATTGGAGCCTCTGTAAGTTCAGTTGATTTGATTATTTGTATACATTTTATATACAGTATATTGTTATATCTATTTTGAAATCTTAGCACGAACCTTAAATAAAATTGATTGTTGGTATCTTTTTAGAACTCTTCATGGCATAGAGTCAGAGGATTTGGAAACACGCCTCAGAGCTTTTGGTCCGTACTGACATGATAGCATCACACAGTTTTGTCTGCTGCACGTCCATGATGAAAATCTCATGTGTCGCACAGCATCACAAAGGTACAAATGTACATGTCAGATATTTATTTTAGATATTTTAAGTACTGTGATTGAAAGAAATGTATTACAGTAAAAGAAATCTAAATTTTGAATGATATTTTTTTAACATCTGTCCTTTGTATTGGACTTTGGGTCTTGCTTAACCACAGTGATGTAATGATGTTGTTTTCATCTTCCTGTGGATTTCTGGTAAAAATTTCTTTTTGTCTCATGAACATGAAATAGATGAGGGAAGCACATCTGAACACTAAAAACATTGTTTTAAGAAATAACTTCCCACAGTCAAGCTTTTGATTAGCTGTGCTGTAAATGTAGATCACCTCAGCCACTGCTCATACAGTGATCGGGCATGTTATGAGATCAGGAAAGGTTTTTACTTAGAAATGTGGAAATCATCTGCTCATCTATGTTTAAGAGAGGTCCTTATTAAAGACACCTGGTATGGTATTCTGCTGCTGTAGCCCATCTGCTTCAAGATTAGACTTGATGTGCTTTCAGACATGCTCTTCAACATACCTTGGTTGTAACGAGTGATTATTTGGGTTGCTGTTGCCTTCTTATCAGCTCAAAGAAGTCTGGCCATTCTCCTCTGACCTCTGGGATAAACAAGGCATTTTTGCCCAGAGAACTGCTGCTCACAAAATGTTTTCTCTTTTTCAGACCATTCTCTGTAAACCCTAGAGATGGTTGTTTGGGAAAATCCCAGTACATCAGCAGTTTCTGAAATCCTCAGATCAGCCCATCTGGCACCAGCAACAATGTTACATTCAGATTCTCTTAAATCACCTTTCTTCACCATTCTGATGCACAGTTTGAACTTCGGCTTGAGTTCCTGCCATGTGATTGGCTGATTAGACATTTATTTAACCAGCAGTTGAACAGAAGTACCTAATGAAGTGAGTATATGTATTGGTTGTCAGATAAACAGGGACATTTTCATATAGTGTGGTCCGGCAGCAGAACCACTTTAACTGGGTGTGATTGTGACTCATCACATATATTGTGTCACACTGAGTCAGATGTTTTCCATTGTTAGGCGTAATTTACCAAAAATAAATCAATAATTCATTAATTTAAATACATGCATTTGTTAAGTGGCTCCAAAGTGTAGTGGTTTATAAGCTAATGGATCCCAGAAGGAGAAACGTATTCCTTTATGGTTGCATCAAGAAGTATCCAGTGTAAAAGTCTGTCAGTTCAAACATGCAGAGCTACCTGCTGTGGCGACCCCTTGTGAAAAAAGGAGTAACTAAAATCTAAATCTAAAATAAGTGTAACTGTAAACTCATTAGGTGTTTGTTTTTCTCAGTCATTAATTAAGTGATAATGATGATTAATGAGGTGGCATGATTGTGAGCACGACAGTCACATTGGCAGGCAGCTGGAGATGATCAGCTGCTCCTGGTACAGCTCACGGGGTCACATGCCTCTCACGCCAACAAAGCCCACATAAAGTAAAATAATGAGGGACATCTCTCTCTCATTTGGCACTACAGAAAAACCTCAAGAAAGTGAAATGAACTTTATATCTGAAAAGCAGACGTTGGGCTGCGGTCTGCTGCTGCTGTGTCACGACTTCGTCAATGCTCCTGACTTTGATGTCACAGTAATTCTAAAAAAAAAAAAATGCTCGATAAAGTGGAAGTGAAATTATTAACTAAGTTCTGGTTAACTAAGGTCTGGTTTTCACACTTACACAAAAGCAGGAAACTTACCAAAAATGAGTGAAGCAAGGAAGTGGCTGCCGCCAAATGCAACACCATATATAGTTTTGTTTTGTTGGCTTTAACCCACGACTTGGCTTATTTGATACACTGCCCTCTTATTTAGTGAGACAATTGTGAATGGGGATTTGTGGCTTTATTTAGAAGCTGACAGTCAGAAATTATGGGCTGTTAAAAGAAGCCCAGAGATACCTTTCACAAAGAAGCAACTATTTACATTCAACAAGTCATGATTTCATATAAAAGGGTCATGAAGCATAAACACAGAAGATTCAAGATATAAGGCAGTGGATCATATTATTAAAGAAAGAAAAAGAGACATTTCTGCATCCTGAAGTGTGTACATTTTATGTTCTGGGATAAAATTCCATTTTTTTCTTTTTCAAAACAAGGATTTAAAAAGTTCACATCTGGAATCTCCCTTGTGCATTTCAACAGATGTGACAGTTTTAGCTGGTGGGATTAGATAAGATGATCATTTGCCTTAACTAATATTGCTTTTTTACAAAATACAGGTTTACATATCAGAACTGCTACAGACATTTCTCTGTCTGTATAGTTTCACAGCTGCTTCAGTGTGTGTTGCCTCTTGCTTTGTACGTCTCCAGATGCTGTGTCAGATCTTGAATACGGACATCCTTCAAGTGAACCAGATGTTCCAGCTTGTTCACTTTCATCTGGAGGATCTGCAAACATACACGACCAAGAAAACCAAGAAAAGAAAAAGAAAAGAGGGATGAGGCTAAAGAGAGGATATTTCTTTGAAGGCTTCTGAAAACTTCATAGTGCGGTGAAAGGAGAAGTTGCACGTTTGTGTCATCCTTCTGCTTCTCTCTAAACATGCAGATGTGACCACAGATGGAAAAGAAAAATAAGGGTTATATCCGCTGAGCAGATACTGACTCACTCGCCACTGCTGACACAGGACATTACACA